TTCCCAAACTCCTCCCTTTTATTACATTATATTCATATAAATGACTGAAAAATATTATGTAGTAGCAAAAAATGTGTTATTTTTCATCACTCTTCGTCTTGCGTACAAATAAAAATTAGTAATCTTTAGCTGATGAGCAATCCTCAACATCAGATATGGAAACACTTCCCGACTCTCAGATAATTTTTCCTGAATTTCTGTTATTCCGCTTTTCAAACCTGTCCATTCGAGCACATAAAAGTAGTTTCTATAGATGGTTTTAAAAATCGGTATATGTATTTATTTTGAAGTACAAATTTCAAAATTATTACAAAGAAAATAGGGGGGAAATCGGTCGAAGACAGAAAAAAGTTCATTATATCCAACTTCCTCACTTTTTTGGTTCACTATATCCACTAAAAATAGCATTATAAGAGTATAGCAAGGCACGGGACCGAGCATTTCGATCACTATATCCGGGAGTTCACTATAAGCCGTGTTCACTATTACGGGGTTTGACTGTAGTATATATACAATAGACGATAGCATCAATCTTTTGTCAAGTTTTAATGATGGCTGTCTTCAATTCTGCATCAGACTAAGATTGCTTCTTTGTTGCATATACAGCCTTATTTAGGATAACTCTTCACGCTTTCTAGGGGATTGACGTCAAGAAAAGAATACGTAATTTATGACGGGCACACTATTATCCAAAACTTTGAAGACTTCGCAGCGGAAGAGAATGTGAATTTTTTTGTTGGAAAAAGACTGCAATATTGCCTTCAAATGCCTTTTATCAAAAACTGCTAGAAGCCCATTTAATCTGTAGCCCTAATACCTTCTGGTTTAGGTTCAATGACAAATTTACTCTCATAGCCAAAGTCAGTATATTAAAAATCTCCTCATAGCAGACCATTTTTGAAAGAGTTTTTTTCTTTTTTCTTTCTCGTCTACTGTTTCATGTTCTATAACCTACAAGAAATTTGCGTTATTTAAATATAGCAATAACCAATGTCAAGAGATAGCCACAAACAAAGAAGAATAAGAAATAAACGAATTAAGATGATCCAGACAGTTTTGTGTGCCATTACAATAACATTGGAAAAAGAAAGGAAGATTTCTTCTAGGCACAGTATGTGGAGGCTCATTAATTGCGTGAGATGGCTTCAGATATGGCATTTAACATAACGTAGCTTCTAGCTTCTCTCTCAAGTTGTATGAAGACTGCAGATAATAAAAAATTTCTAGAAATGGATTTATTGCTAGTTTTGAGCTAAAATTACTTTAACCAAGTCGGATTTTCCAGCAAGATATTACCTTCATTTACGTTACAAAATCTTCTTAGTGTTGGGTGTTGGATAATATGCCACTTTCCATGGATGACTTGCCCTTTTACCTGACCCACATCCTCAAGAAAACGTAAGGGCTATATTCAGTTGATCTTATACCAAAAAGTAGCAGTTTCAGTGTGTGGCATAATTGAAGACAGCCATCACTGAAACGCTGGCCAAGGTATAGTAAAACAAGCGAAACATCATTCCAAGTCTTAAATAAACATGACGGATATATTTTAGCTATAGTCAGCAGAAGTGGCGTCATTTCGATGGGACACTTTTTTTAAGTTTATGGCACCTCCCTTATTATTTTTAATATGTTTTTTCCCCGTCAAAATAAAGCAGGAAGGGAATTACTCTTTGTAAATATGTGTTGAGATGTAGACTTTCTAAAGATTGAACTTAATATAATAAGCTTTTTTGATTGATAAGTGACTTTTTGATTAATGTGGTTGTATTTTTTTCAGAGAGACTTCCATGAAGATACTTTAAACAATTCGTAAGTATTGAAATTTTTCCTTAAGTTGATGAATATTTAAAAGGTTCATAAATGTTTAGATTGATTTTATTTTTACTTATTTGAACAATTTTCTTTTAAAGAGACTTGATTTTCCTAGATGTGGATGTTTATGACGATGAGATTATGCATTATACTTTCGTTCCAAAATATGAGGCAAGTGCTTATCTTAAACTATTGAATAAATGTCAACGTGTATGCTATCTTTATACTAAATACAATGTTGTAAATTTAATTTATATTGTTTGTAATTTATTGTGAATGATGCATGAAACAAAATAAATTAATAGTTAGATAGTTTTGAACAGCAGTTCCCAATTTTTTTTTACCTGAAATAGGCGAGCTTTTGGCAGAACCCTGACACTTAATGAATAAATTTCAACAGCAATTGTAAAGGTATTGATTAAAAAAAAACCATTAATTATTGTGAAAATATACAATGATCTGAGTTTTATGAACTGTTTAGAAAATATTTAGGAAATATATGAAAAGTGAAATTTTTTCATCATATCGTTTTATCAATTGGTTGTTATGTTAGACAGTTAAAATCACCGGTTTGGAGCAGCGTCTAGTTGAGTTCTTAATTTATTTTATTGCCTGGTTTAACTGAAAATGAATAAGCTGAAATATGGTTTACATTAAAATAAAAAAAGGAAGAAAATAACGGTTGAGAATGGTTTTCAGAAAAACACACTGCATCATTGTTGAATTTGTTCATATTTATTAGATTTGAAATACTAAAAGAATTTTTCAAAAATGAATATCCTTCTCATAATTGTCTTATTATAATTTTATAAGAAAGAAATTGCTTTGGAATTTTTTTCTTTAAGCGCATTTCCATGAAACAATTTCATAAAAATAACGGTAAAATTTACTAAATAATGTATTATTAATCGCATATAAATTTAATTACAGATTTCAAAAATCATCACTGGTAAAAAAAAAATCCTACTTCTCGGAATCCTTGTAATCTTTTCACGGAATCCTAAGGTTCGGGGAACACCATATGGGAATTGCTGGCTTAGAACCATTATTATACAAATGAATGAGGCATCTAATTCACGCCTCTTTCTTTTTCTGAAGACGGGACGTAATGTTGATTATTCTTTTAATAATTGGAAGATATTTATGAATTAAACTGATATTATTATAAAGATAATTCATTAAAGTTTTCAAGTCATGAAAGTTATTGTCATAAAAATAATTTATTTTTACTTAAGGGAAAGTGGGAGAATACATTAAATTTGTAAAAATTTTAATGTTGACTAAACAAAGATAATAGCTCGTAAGCGTTTTTCTAAATAAAAAAGGAACAAGAACGAAAGAAAAGAAAAGACAAATTTTTTTTATGTTCGCAAAAAATTTAGTTCATTAGTAAGTTATAAATAAAATGAGAAAGACAATAGTGTAAGATTTTTTTCACGTTATTTTTATTTAGTTCTTGTAAAACATTTAATGTTAAATTCTTAATTTTGATTGTTGCATCATTTTTTTTTAAAAAAAATTAAATTATATCAGAGTTTTTGTTGATCTAAATAAAATTTATGTAATGGAATGTATTTGTGAACAACCAAAAATACTTACGTAAATCTTAAAAAAAAATTTCAAATGTAAACCTTTCAAAGCAACGTAACTTTTAAGCAAACTTCAAAAATATACGAGATAATGAAAGTATATTTAATTATTATAATGTTGGTCAATATTGAAGCTTAGTTTAACTTGGGTCTTAATTAAAGAAAGCTGGAAGCTGTTATACCACGTAAACAAAAACGTTTTTATGTTCTTAACGTAATAAAACTGAATAATGTTAAAGACGAAGTCTCAATCAAAAGAATAATTTAATAAAGTATATTTTATTAGGTTTATTTGAAAATAAATAAAATAAATTTCTGCTTATTCTCTGTGTAAATTCAAATAACAATTTCAAACAAATTTTACATTTAAATTCCCTTGCAATCAGAAAAGAATTAACAATTTTATCTCTTGGAAAAATATAGCAATATGATTGTTTTTGGAAAAATATAGAAATATGATTGTTTTGGAGATATATTCAGAGAATACAATTTATTTTGATCTATGAAATTAAAATTTGAAAACATATTCTTAAAAGAAGGCTATCATGTTGAATAAATAAATGACAAAAAAATTTTGCAGTTAAACAGACATTTTAAAACAGAACATGAATTAAAAAAATAGTACTTAGAAAATAAAATCGATTGCGAATCAGAGTATATCTCGTAAGAAGATTTTTCTTCTTACTCATTGTAAAGAGAGAGATAATAATTATGACTTTTTTAGAACCTATAAGAGATAAAATTTGAAGATAAAATTTTAAATAAAAATTTAAGAAATTAAGATTTAATAAGTTCGAAAGTATCATAAACATATTATTACTGGTAGTTTGAATGTTATAGAAAATTTAGAGAAGCTTTCTAAAATTTCTAAAAGGCTTTCTAAATAATCTCAATAATTTTTATCTAAAAATTTTCAATAGATTCTCCTAACCTTTAGGATTGCTTACAGAATGGAAATGGGATGTATATCATTGTTTGAAAACTTTAATTCTTAATAATAATAAGGGGAATGTAAGTAACTGTGAAAATTCAACTAATACTTCTACAATTAATCTTATAAGCAACTTCATAATAATACACAATTTATTAAGCAACTGCAAAGAATTTTAGTTCTGGATAAAGTTAACATTGATTAACAAAGATAAAAATTTAATTTAAAAATCTTATCATTAAAATTTTTTAGCTTTGTAAAAGAGTTTAAAAAAAGTTGGAAATGCACTATTTCAAATTTTAATTATCGGTCTAATATTTCAAAAAATTATTATTAAATTCTGAGCAATCACAATTATGGGTCTAATACTTACGTAGCTAAATCTGGCACTTTTTTTTTCAACAACCTCGACGAAATTATTAACAATATTAAAGAAGGTATTTCATGGATTATTATTTCCTAGATCTCTTTAATAACATTACAATATCTAAACTAAATGACAAAGTAATAGAATTGTTCTTATGATTATAAAAATGTACATAATTGCAAATTTCATTACTGGGAAATTCTAAATAATATATATCTTTTTAAGAATTATACTTAGATTGAAAACATTTTTTATTCAAACAGATGGAATAACACTGGAATCTAATTTTCGTCTAGCTATTTGCTTCTGGCTAACGTGCACTATAATGAAAAAATTTATACTCCAAATAACAAATTTGGTTTTAGATTTTTGTTGACTATATTATCTTTAATAGTCAAAATTATATATTTTTGTCATACAATATTAATCCTTAAGGAATTAATTTTCCTTCGTTATACTTCCGTTATACCTTCGTTTCCGTTCGTTCATCGAAGATAATATTAATTTTAATTTTTTGGAGTTAATTATTAAAAAGGAAGAGAATATTTACATTAATAAACGTACACAATGAAAATAAATATTTTAAGAATATTATTATTAAATATTTAAATAAACTAATTAATAATTAACTATAAATAAACATGGAATTCTAATATTTCTAAAACGCTTATTTAAGTACTATATTAAGTGAAATAAATATAAATTAAAATAGAATAAACAGAGATTAGAGCAATATTTATCTATTTAAAAAGCAAATGGACGTATATTTTTTCCAATTTGATTAAAAACAATGTGTATCCAAAAATGTAATCAAATTTTATACAATTACATACATGAGTCAATCATGTATTAAAATTATAAAAATGAATATTACATAGAAATCTTTTAGTTTTCCAGATTGATGTTTTTGTCATATCGAAATCCAATTCGGGTGAATTTGTGGCTAAACATTTTATAACTAGCCAACAAACTCCACCAATAATATTTAATAAACGTCAGTAATTTCTATAAAAAATCATCGAATTAAAATGTTGTATTTAAATTTCAGACATTTATTAAGTATAAACTTTGAACTCTCCAGGATAATATAATAACTTGCACAAATCCAGTTTTTCACCAAATCCAGTTTCCAATCTAAAATAACTTACAATTGACAAATTTCATTATTTGACTTTTGTTATTATTAAGATTAATTCTAAGAAATAATCGTTGTATTTTCAAACAGTATTCGAATTTTCTTTTTTACATAAATACTACAAATTCAAAATAAACTTTATAATAAATGTTATGCAGTTCGTTGGAAAAATGATTTATAATTAATTTTTTTAGTGAATGTGAATAATGATTAGCATTAAGATTTAGGCATAAGCCCTAAGTAATGCATTATGAATTTAATAGTATTAATTTTCATTGCTTTTATTTTACCAAAAAAATAGACTATTTTATTTGAAATTTTTTTCTGTACTTGTATATTCCATTGGGGTGAAATTTTTGTAAATATAAATGAAGCTTGAATTTTTTTTCCTTGTTTTAGCGCCTTTAAGAGGCTGTATTAGGCTTCTAAGAGGTTCCGGACCTGAAGCGCTGTTTAGAAAATGTTAAAAATAAAAGTCTTCTTGTTAAAAATGGAGGATATTAAATACAAATTAAAGGGAAGTAGATAGGGCGTACACCAATAATGCCGAAACTGACCCTTTTTGTCGTACCTTCTCTCAGCTTCTAAACAAGATATTACTTCAGTTTTTCCAAAGGATATTTACATATACGTGTTTGTACTGTGATTAACTGTTAATGCATTCTTCGGAAGAAACTTTTAGAAAAAATATGAACTGAGAATTTTTAATTTCTTAAAAAGTTTCATCATAAATTTTTCATAACTCAAAAAGTATTCCTTTAACATTAACATCGAAACATTTCCCCCTCATGCAACTGACATATCGCAGTATTTTCAAAAAACTTTAAAGCTATATCAAAATAAGTTTCCTAGAAAAATATCAGTTTTAGCAATATTGATAAATGCCCTAGCAACTCCTAAGCGTTAGATACTAAAATACTTGAAAATATTTAATGCCTATTAATGGCTAGAGAATAGCTATGATTTTTTTAATATTTTCCTTCAGGACATAGAGATATTTAGTTACGTTGGTGGATTCATTGGAATGTGGCTTGGAATATCTTTTCTTCAAAGTATACAGATTTTAGAACAACTCTTTTTCTCTGTTATCAAGTATTTCAAGAGGCCGATCTTAGATACATCTGAAGGAAGTATGTTAACCTAGCGTATTGGAATTGTATTAGTATATTATAAAAATTAAGTATTAAAATTATGGTTGTTTCTGTAAATTTATTTTAATTGGTAGTTTATTTTGAATGTAATAAGTTGAATTTTTTTTCGTTAATGTTCTACTAAATATTCAGTTAAAGAAAAAAAGTAAATTAATTTCGCTCACAAAATTGTGAAGAAAGTGAATCAAATAAAAGCTGAACTTTCCCCAATAATCTAGTTCAAGACGTTTAATGAAAATTGAAAAAACCAGCAATATTTTGCAGCATTTTATGTGTGGTTTTGTGATTATATTTTGATAACCTAAATACAGATGCAAAATTAATTGTAAGGAGGCAAAATAGTGTATGACAGATTTGTGTCAGAAATATTTCACTAAAATTAATATTTTAAACAAACAGTGAAGATATAATTTCAACCTCAAAGCATCACAGATAAACTATATACGATATGGAGTAATATTTTCAAAAAATAACACCTGTAAACCTATTAATAGCTAGTTAATTGTAAGATATAGTGTATAAAACGTGTTCGCATGAAATAAAGCTACTATCTTGATTGATACAATATTAGTAAGCACTCCTTTTTGCTGATATAATCGCGCGAACTGATGAAGATATTAAGATAGTATATATTTTTTACCTGATTTTTATTCTATTATTTATTTATTTATTGCTAAATATTTTATTTTTTCTCTGTTTTCATTATTCCGTATTTTTTTCATGTTTTCTCTACATTTTGTATTTATTTGATGAGTTCTCTAGTTTATGCGCATAAGCAGACCTGCAGCTTATGCGCAGTAAATAAAATTTATTGTTCTTAATTTTCTTCCTTTTACTCTTTTTTCTTTTCGTCCTTTTTGTAATTTATTTATTATGATATATATATATTTTTCTCAACTACTTATAAAGCTATTATTTGATTTTCTACACCAACAGCCATAAAAATTATCGTTCTAAAAATTTTCTTCAATAAAATTGTCTTGAATTTGTATCACATGCAAAGTAAACTCTCACACCGCAACTCAACGACTACAAAACTTTAATTAACGATCAGTGGTTTAACACTGTGAACACTGATTATGTTTAGATATTTTTTTTCTCACTTTTTTTAGAAATTAAGTTATGTGGATATGAAAATTAGACACAGTGATTAAATTTTGTTCTAAAACAAATTAGTTTTTTTTCCTTTTAAGTAATTATTTATTTAGGCAAATGGATGTTTGGCTACTTTCGAATGAAAAATAAACATGAATAAATGAATATTTAATTTCCAAAAAAACTTACTCTAAAGAAGAATAAGGAATCATATTTATAGGTTTAATAATAATTATAAATGAAATTTATTTATAAATAAGGACGACTCTTATAATTTATAAAGTTCTAAATTCTAAAGTTGAGAAAAAGAAAAGCTTCTGCATTTGTCTAAATGTAAATATCGAACAAAATCTCAACAGAAATAAGCATAAAGGATATAAGTAATCTCTCTTGAAAAACAGATTTTAAGAATTTCGGAAAAAAGCTTTTTTCCTATAAAAAATATAACTTCATAATGGAATTTTGATCCATTCACGCACATTGCACTTGTATGAAATCAGATGCAAAAACAAATCTTGCGAATAAGGATTATGTTTTCAAAAGACATCAGATGGCTCCGCGATATCACAATGTAAATTTTTATAATCTTTTGTACTATTCTGAAGGTATTACAGTTTCCCTTTTGCGCATTTCCAGATTTCAAAGAAAAAGAATTGTCTGTTCGAAATTCTCCAGGAATTATAAGTAAAGTATTCACAAAGGCTTCTCAGAATGCCCGTGTTTATTTCAGTTAAAAAAAATCTCCTCGAATAAAAGAAAGTAAATCAAGTTCTTTCTTAGGAGTGTGTTTTGAGTTCTAGAAAACAGCTGAACTACCATTTCAAAGCGATGTATCTTATAATCTGAGCATATATATAATTTGAAGTTACAAAAACAGATGAACATTTTTTTATAACAAATTAAACATAATCACAATAAATTTGGACATGATTGTTTTCTAATTATTTGTTAATGTACGTTTAATTAATTTTAAATGGTGCAATATTTGAAAGAGTTATCCCATACGTATAAGTGATTGCTACTTAAAAAATGAAATAGACTAATTTGTACACAAATAAGTGCACAGCATGAATTGATGGATTTAGAATAAAAACTATTGCGCAAAATGTGTTGAAGGATTTAGAACAAAAACAAATGCTCAAAATAAGTAAGGGGATTTAGTGCTAAAACTAATGCACTGAATACATGGAAGGATTTAGAGCAAAAACATCTTCACAGAATATGTTGAAGGATTTAGAACAAAACAAATGCTCAAAAATTATGGAAAGATTTAGAATAAAAATTTATGCACAAAATGTGTCGAAGGATTTAGTACAGAAACAAATGTGCAAAGTATGTAGAAGGAATTAGAACAAAAATAAATGTACAAAATATGCAAAAAGACTCCAAACAAATTAGAAATCCACAGTTTAGAAAAAAAAACAAATATATAAATTATGTAGAAGGCTTGAATATAAACATTGTGTTAAATATGTAGAAAGATTTAGAACAAAAACATTAAAATTAAATTATTATTATTCACTATGATAATATTATGATTAATGAGATCATTTATTTATTCACAGTTTATGAGAGTGCATCCTAGCTATAATCGATTTACAAAGCAGGAAGAGTAGAATAACGATAGCGTCTCGTGATAGCATAACCCAATAACGATAGTGTTAATGATATCGTAACCATGATAGACAATGATCAAGTCTTAAAAAAGGGTTGATATTGCAATCACATTTATATTATTTCATAAAATGAATAAAACAGTAGACGTAAATATTTGATGGCATAAAAATGCCTTTTTTTTAGTATGATGAATCTATTAGTACTACGGAAAGAATTGAATCATATTACATCATCGTTTCAATTAAAGAATGCTATGTAAAAATGATTTAAATACTTTTTTATATCGGAAAATGTCTTTCCCGCTCGCATTCACTTTAGTACATCTAGTTGGTACTTACTGGCTCTGGCTGATATATCTAACAGTCAGCACTAGTGAGAAGTTATTGGGTACAGTATAAATACTTTTAGAATCGTACCAGATTACACCTCTGATAATACATTTAAACAAGCGATAGCTACTTTCTGCGTATGTTATTCCTCAAAATCCAAAATGATCAAAAGGAAAATTAATAGATCAAAAATGTTCGAATATATAAAAGCTTTTTTGGGTGAATAGATAAAATTAAGTAATCACATTATCAACGTAAAACTCTTACGTAAAAAAAAAAAAAATTGATCATATATTTTGCACATATATATTTATATCATATATATTCATATTATATATATGTTGTTGTTGACGTATGCCTGTTTTGGCAGAAGGGGTGCGATTGTTCTTGTTTTCCAGTGGCGCCATCTATGGCCAAGAGTTCGACTTGTGCCTCACCATACGTCCCACCCGCTTATAGGGCGGACCCATTCATACATCCGTTCAATCATCCGCAGATCGTACATTTTCACATGAAGCAGATAACGATCGATCTCCAATCCAGTACCCCCAGAGGTATTGATTTGTTATATCAACATGGAGGACTTTTGCGACTCGACAGATTTAACGTGCATCAGTCACTTTACTACACGGGGGTATTCGGCTGGCGGGATTCAAACTTATACATACGTTTAGGGATTGGATCTTCACGTACCACGCATACTGGGTATCAATCTTAATGGTTTAAGGGATGACCTCAAATATGCTAGTTACTTAGTGCAGACGATACCTTAAATTACGAAATAATACACAAGAACGTTCTTTCTCTGAATAAGCATACTTTTCCTTCGACGGACATTAATTTATGATACTCAACATACGGAGGGGAGAGCGTCCATATTCTAAGAAATTTGTTTTCCATAATTTTGTCAGCAGAACGGTCGAAAGTTTGGTCCCCAAAATGTTAATTTTATTTTTTCGTATTTCGCTGTAACTCGAGAACGACCTAAGCGAAAACAATTTTTTTTGCACACAATTAAAAAGTTCGCTTATCTTAAAATATGGTTCACTTAAAACGCGATTTTTATTATTTTATTTAAATACATTCAAGAAAAGTTTTAAAAGTGAAGTATACAAAATATTACATTATTTTAAAGTATGCAATTTTATATAAAAAAATTTAAAATTTGTACCAAATCATTTGAATATTTCCTGGGATTTTGAGTTTTTTTCAAAAAAAAGAGTCGTATATTTAAAATTTAATTTCTTAAGAACTATACCTCCAAGTTTCGATCAAAATTTCTATTTTGACGTATAAAATTACTTTCTTCAAAATGATGTAAAAATTTGTGTGCTTAACAATTCAAAACTTTCTCAGAAGTAATTAAATCAAATAATAAAAAAATAATAATTTATTAAAAACTATTTTTGCCGGGAATTATTTTATGTTAAACTAATTTTATAGTTTTAAGGAACAAAAACTTTTCAATTCACTAAAAAATTTCTTGAGATAAGGCAAAATTCACATTAAATAAGTCAAACATAAGGGGTTTAAACTTCCGACTTCTCTTCTTGAAGAAATTATTCTTCTTGAACAAATTATCGAGACCATAATTAATAGATTGCTCCTATCTATCCTATTTTTCTAGAGATCAGAAATCCTAATCTCTAGAAAAGAAAGATATGTTTATTCAAAGAAAGTACTTCTTTGTGTCTTATTCATATATATGACATAAAATATCACCAACACTAATTGTTAAACATATTTTAGGTCTCTCATTTAAACCATTAAGAGTAACTTCCAATGCATGAAAATCCGATATTTAGACCAAAAGTTATTCAGAGTGTTCCTTTTTTTACTGAGCACTGATCCTTTATTCGCAAAGTACAGAATTAAAAATCTTAAACTAATATTGTATTACCAAATATGATTGTTCAATGAATCGTTGATTCGCAATGATTTTAATGATTCGTTATAAGACTTAATAAATAGTTTCGCAAGTTATGAACGAACACTAATGGAACATTGGATGTTAAATCTGTGCTAACAATTTGACATAAAAAAGTATTTCAATCTTTTCTCTTTTATTCAATCACTTGGAAAACAGCGTTAACTTCAGAAAATTTCTCTAATTTTTAAATAACTTTATTTAATCTCTTCAAATTCGAGTTACTAAGTTGGTATTTATATTCTTCAGAAAAAATAAAGATAATCTTAAACGTTAGGCTCTAACAGTTTAAGTTATTGAAGGGGAAAAATTGTCAAATATAGAATGTGCTCGGAAATACTCTAAAAATGTGAACACTTATAGGGATAAAAGTTTTTGTTTCTTTAAAAAAAGCATAAAAATGCTTTCATCGTTATGGAACAAACATTAAAATAAAACGTTTTCTAAAATAACGAACAGCGTTACCTGTAACAAATACCTGTTATAAAAAATGTTTTCTGAGGAAAAGAAATTTCTTGTTACTTTTTCTGAGTACGCCCTTTACTATCGTAATGTCTATCCAATAAGATGAAGCTAAAAGAGGACCTAGAAAATTTTATATAAATATATATTTTTTATGTTTAAACGAGTTCTTAAAGCATGGTATAAAACATTTTTATAAATAACTTACAGTGGTGAACTTTAGAAATAATCAATCTTAGATAGATGGTACTCTATCCGAAATGCTGGTATTTATTATTATTTGTATTATTATTACATATGGCCATTTATTTACTTAAACTTAAAAAAATATTTCAGTATCTTATTTTAAGTTCACGAACAATTAATGTTTAACCCTTCGTGCACGATAGATGCCTCTCAGGCCTCACCTTCTATAAACTACATACCGTCTGATGGGGTGACTTTGTGCAAACTGTTAATTATTAAATAACTAACATTATAATAATTAAAAACCAAAAAAAAAATGCATGATTTGTTATCTCAATTGATAAGACTTTTAAAGTATAACCTACTTTCCTGACAGGGATAACTAGAATTTCTTCAGCCGAGCAGACTTTCCAGTCTCCGATTTTGCGACGTTAAAAAATTTGAAACCGTTTGCAACTTGAGCTCACGATTTTTCAAGAACAATGATGTCTGCATTGCCATTTCATGATAAACCATTAGTTTGTTATGTTGACAACTCAAATCAGTACCGAGCTTAAAAAAATAACCCTAGATGGCGCGACGCAAAATTTGAAAAAATGACAGTTTGCACAAAGTCACCCCTCGTTGCATAATTTCACCCCATCAGACGATACCAATTTAAATATTTAAATATTTTTTGTCCTAATGTTCAGTGACATAATAAATTTATTCAGTGGTCTCCAAGTATGTGGTACGTGAGTACGCAATGAGTCTTGTCTAGTAAGCACTTTTACCTTTACTGGTTTTATGTATATGTATTATACTACACTTAACAGTATAACAAGTAGAACATATTGTAGATATGTTCGTAAAATGGAAAAAATTAATTTTTTTTTAGTTATTTATTCGTCAATGTCATTGTTTGTAATCAAGTTACATTTTAACTTGGCACAAAATGTAATCAAGTTGCATTTTGTGCCAAGCTGACTAGCGTTCTTTTATAATGATGGTTCCTTTGTTCAAACAAGAAAAAAAGAGTGGCAGAACAGGAATGTCATTCTTCAGATTTATTTTTGATATGCAAAATTGTTCAGTCTATCAGAGTTGAGGGCTAAAAATCCAAATAACCAAAGAACTCAAACAAATTTTTTTAACGGAAAAATATTTCAAAAACTCCTGCTAAACAAAGTGGCGAGCAAACTATTGTATTAATAGTTCAAGCATTTACCAATGC